TTTTTTTTTTCCTTTCCTACAACCCAGTTCTTCTCCTTCAAAGCACATATCACAATTTTAATTATATATTTGTCTCTGTTAATATCTACCTTACCCACTAGTCTCTAAGCACTAAGTGTAAGGGACTATCCTCAGAATATTGCTTGGCACATAGTTAAGTGTTCAATAAATATTTGTTAAATAAGAAGTGTGGCAAAAAAAAAAAAAAAAAAAAAATTAGAATCAGACCAGAAACCAAAATACTGTGTTTTAATCTTTCTACTATTGTGTGATGCTGGGCAAATTACATAGCCTCGTGACCTTAACTTATCAAAAAATCAATGCACTAACAAATTTTTAGGTGTCTCTAATTTCTACATAAACTTGCTGCAAGGTATTTTGGTACCTATCATTTATACCATACACTGAACACATTATTCCACATGGAAACCTTCCCCCTTCCTTCAGCCATCCATCCTCTGTGCCCCACTGATCTTACCAGTGGGAGTGGACCCCAACCTCCCTAGGCCCTGTCTTCTGGGTTTTGGACTGTGGGATGAAGACACAATAGCCATAGGTAGTGGGAGGTGGGACAAGCAGTGCCTCTGGCCCTCTTGGCTGTATCAGTAAGAGGCTGGTTACTCCTGCAGAACGGTCAGATTATGCTACAAGAGTCAGAGAAACCCACAGGCTCAGATGTGGTTCGGCTACTACAGAAGTAGCATGAATTGTCAAAAATTCCTAGCTGCCAGAATTTGTCTTTAAATCCACAAGGTTCCTCAAAGTGAGAGAACCTTGACAATTGCTGGAGAATGTGTTTGGAGATATTATAAATTGCTGATTTATGTGATTTCCCAGCTGGATTGTAAACCCTGTGAAATACAATTCTATGTATCTGGCCCATGATAAGATTATCTAAGACAGTGCCTCACATAAAGTAGGTGTTACATAAATACTTAGTGAATGAATTATCTCCCCAACTTTAGTTTCAAAAGGGCATTTGAACACCATTAGTGGTGATTTAAACATACTAAGCTATAGCAGTACAGTCTCTCTAATCTCAATTTATACTCAGGAAATTTGTCCTTACAGTGAAGTTAACTGGGATTCACTTTTGTTATCCATGTTTTGGAAAAAAAAAAAAAAATCACAAAAAAGCACATGAAATACTTCCTAATCTAGTCTTCTTAAGAAGCTACTGTATGGTTGTTCAGAGCATACACTCTAGCAAGAATGCCTGGAATCCAAATGCTAAATCTGCCACTTAGTGCATGACTTTAGGTAAATGACTTAATCTCTGTTTTCTTTTCTGTAAAATAGGAATAACAATAGTACCTACCTCACAGAGTTGTTGTGAAGAGTAAATAAGTTAATATAAGAAAAATGCTTAGAAAAAGACCTGACACATAACTAAGTATTACTGAGTATTTATATTCCCCTCCCAATTTAAAACATTTGTTTACCTTCTGTTTAGTGTATATGACAACGGTGACTAAAGAGTCTGTTTGGAACCAGTCATAGCTGTAAAATATTAAGAAAACAATGAATAATTAGATCAACAATCACATGCATTAACATATATTAAAGCATTAACTGTTTAAAATTTACAGTGAGAGATATATTTCTCTAGGTTAAACTTTTTTCTAAATAAACAATGGTCTTACCATATTATCTTCTTCATTATATAGCTGACAATTATTTTTTTATTTTTTTTTTTATGTATTTTTTTTATTTTGTCAATATACACTGTATATGATTATTATGGCCCAAAACAAAATATCCTTGACAAGACAGTTTTTATAAAGGTTACACATCTCTTTACTAAAATCTTTTATTAGAGTGATAACAAAGCACATGTTTGGTTAAGGAGCATGAAGAAATCTATATGCTAATTACCTTCTCTCCTCCCTTTCACAAATATATTACTACTAAAGAAACTAACTCATCAGGGTTGTTTAATGGGTCAATAGTTAAGATAAAACTAAGTCTTTTGTTTTGCTACAGCTATTGATCAAATTGATACTGTTTTCACACTTATCGCAACACCTACATACAGGCATCCATAGGTGAATCTAGAGGAGGCATTCCGGTCCTTTAATTTAAAATTGTATACAAAATAATCTAACAAATATAGAAAGATACTGCTGTTAGAATAATATAGACTGCCAGTGGAAAGAAGGGCATTAAAAGAAAGAACTAGAGAACAATTCCGGTCCTTTAATTTAAAATTGTATACAAAATAATCTAACAAATATAGAAAGATACTACTGTTAGAATAATATAGACTGCCAGTGGAAAGAAGGGCATTAAAAGAAAGAACTAGAGAACACACACCTGAGGGTATAACACACACATTGGAACTATCATTAACAAAAATATATGTTGCCTAATTTACTGCTAACTGTTTAAGACCATTAGTGTATAACACACTTTGAAAGCTTTCCATTAAAAAAATGATTAAAAAAAAGCTAGATATACAAAAAATAGAACAGTTAAATAAATAATGGTATGGTCGCATGATGGAATGCAAAGAAAAAATGCTTTCACAGAATATTTAATGACACAGGAAATTGCTCACAGAATATACTGCAACACCAATATTATAAAAATAGAACAATATGAAAATAAGCATTATATAAATCAAACTGAAAGGAATAAATCAAATGTTAAGAGAATATATCTAAGGTTGGTAGGATTACAACTGATTTTATCACTTTCTTTTGTATTTCTCTCATTTTCCAAGTTTTCTACCATGGATGTACTTATTTACTTTTTTATAATCAGAAAAATATTTTAAAATAACTTTTTTAAGTGTTGGTGTTTCAAATGGATCAAACTTCAGCTATACTTAAAATTCATATTTGTGGGACAGCTCATTCTTCAACAACATCTAATAAATGAGGCACTACAGTTATCGACAACGAAGCAAGATAAATAGTAAGCAATAAATCAAACTCAGTGCTACTTTATTTTTTAAAATATGTGCATTTTTGTGTAGTACTGATTTAGCTTTAAAAGTCTAAAACAAGAATGCATACCTTGGAGAACTAGGACCTTCTTTGGCAAGTGTATCTGTCACTTGGCTCTTGGGAAGCATGCCTTCACAAAGAAAAATAAACAAAATAGCTACAGTTCATCTACATGGCATTTAAAAAATTGTTTTTGTCTTTTCAGTTTCTTACTGAAATATTACATACATACATAAAAGAATACAAATCATAAATAAAATACTCAGTGAAATTTTATGAAGTGAAACATACCCTGGTGACCAGCACCCTCTGTGTGCTCCCTTACAATAACCACCCCTCCCCCAAGGATAATCACTCTTCTAATTTCCAACATCACAATTAGTTTTTGCCTGCATTTGACCTTCCTATAAGTGGAATCATAAGATATTTTTCTCTTTTGCTCGGGCTTTTTGTCCTACATTATGGATATTACAGTTCTTATGTCAAATAAGCATGATTGACAGTAAGCAATAAATCAAGCCTAGAGCTTTTGAGATTTTATCCATGCTGTTGAATGCATCAGTAGTTTGGTTCCTTTTTATTACTGAGCAGTATTACATTATATGAATAGACCACAATTTATTCATTCTCCTGATGATGGGTATTAGTATTGTTTCCAGTTTGGGGATATTGTACACATAGCACTGTTACAAACATTCTTTTACACGCACATGTACATTCTTTAAGAATATATATTGATATTTCCGTTGGGCATACAGATGTACATATGTTTAGCTTTAATAGATACTGCCAAACATCTTTCCAAAGTGGTTATACCACGTGGTCGTACCACTTTTTACCACAGTGTTTGAGAATTCCAGTTGCTCCACAACCTCATCAACATATGGTATTCTTTTTCCATTTTACTCATTCTTGTGGATATGCATCAACACAGCATTTAAAAGCCCACTAAAGCGGTGGGTTTAAAATCATTGCAGAAAACTATGAGACATGGAAGAACTTGAAATTCTGCAAACATTAAGAATTTTCCTCCCATGATAATAGTCCATTGTTTATATTGGTAAGACTTAGTTTGGAAAAAAAAGAACACTGCTGCTAAATGACTTTTGATAATCACTGTAACAATTATATATTTCTTAAACTACGCAGGAAAAAATAATGATTAGTCTCTGGTAAGTCTTGGAATTCTCAAATTAGAATCTTTCCGTGAACTTTCTGAAGTACCCTCATATATTCTAATCTTATAAGATCCAGGTCAGATTACTTGTGGAATGCTATATTCCACTCGTAAGGCCATCTTTAACTTCATTTGTCAATTAGCTAGATTTAGCCATTCCACAATGTATATAAACTTCAAAACATCATGTTGTACCCGATAAATGCATACAATTCTATCTGTTAATTAAAAAATTTTGAAAAAAACCCTTGAGGTATTAGTTAAATGCAGTGCATTCAAACAAGGGTACCAAAAAAGTAAAGTTTTGGATGCCATATGTGGTTGGAAATGAAATGCCCAGTCTATCAGTTATTAGTCATTAAGCAATGGTTGTTTTCATTGTATCACTGAAGAGTCAATCATCGGAGAAAACCTAAGATCAGTCCCTCATTTCATGCAGTGTTATATCACCAGACAATTTTGGAAATGAAATGCCCAGTCTATCAGTTATTAGTCATTAAGCAATGGTTGTTTTCATTTTATCACTGAAGAGTCAGTCATCGGAGAAAACCTAAGATCAGTCCCTCATTTCATGCAGTGTTATATCACCAGACAATTTTGGGTATTTGCATAAATACAGAAAGAAAAAAATAAAACTATTTCTAAATGTATATCGACCCAGTTCAGTCAGAGTAGCCCCATGCATTTTATGAGTCAGTACTGACCATCACATCAAACTTTTGGGGGGGAAGGGAAATGTTAGTCATAATTGCAAGTCATCCCAAATGGCTCCTACTGCTGATGCTCAGCCCAGAAAAGAGTAGATTAATAAGCTATTCAGCATCTGTATACAAACATTGGAGGTAAGCTCATATGCCTCAGGGAGTTGACTTGTTGGCAGACTTGTTTCTGAGGATGGAACTCCTAATTACTACAAGTATTAAGCTGAGGGCAGATGAACATGTGTTCAGGAATGTCACAGAAGGGACTATTAGAGGAATGGCTGGAATAACGGGCCTAGAAAGTTCTATCAAATTCTCTAAGTTTAGACCAACAAAGACATATTTTTTATTAAAAAAACCTAAATACCCCAGACAATTCTGCGAAGCAATACTGTACATAAACATGTGTATATAACTAATTTTTTTTATTACACATTTATATGACTTACCATTTAAGACTTTCTTTTCCTCATGATAGTCTGCATAGTGATTTAGGAAAAAAAGTCAGATAAGAATACTACAATGTCAAAGAGAATTATCAGTACCAATTACTGATTTAAAGATAACAGCCCTTCTTTCTTGAAGGACTTTCTTCTAAGACCTGAGGAGAAAAATAAGGCTAATAAATTGATGGCCTTTGTTTCAAATAAGTAAGTTTCATCTCTCAAGATTGTCAGGCCATTTTTCTAGGTGTTTGTCTCCCACTTCACTGGGCTTTTTTCTATTTCTTTAGTCACTTTTTTCTAATATCTTAATCAATTTCTTTAGAGAGCATATAAAAATCTGTTGTGTCCAGGTTATATCATATTCTAAATTAGTCTTAATTAACCGTAATTTATTAGATTACATTTTATAAATGAAACACACATGTTAATAACCCAAAGATGTCTTATCTCTCTTTTACTGAGGTCAGTACTTAAATGATCACTGTTAGTACAAGTTTAAGTGGCCAAAATGCTGAAAATATGTTAAGACTTTCACATATATACAGAATGCAATTATTAGTGTTACAACTGAAAAAAATAATTAACAGGTATTTTCTTTCAGGATAGCAACCAACCGACCACAAGTGCTATACCATTATGGTCAAAATAAACCTCTCAGCAAGCTGTCAGAGTTTAAAAACAAAAAAAGAATGATAAGCTAACACAAAACATCCAAGTAGTAAAATTGAAAGACATCACTTATTAAGTTGACCAACATCACACCTTGTTTTATAGAAAAAGAAAGTAACTTAAAGCTTTCAAAAAAGAAAATTTTTTTCCTGTAGCTGGCCAGTATGGGGATCTGAACCCTTGACCTTGGTGTTATAACACCTCACCCTAACCAACTGAACTAACCAGCCAGCCCTAAAATTTTTTAATTGCGAAAAAAGACAAAAAAAAAAAAAGAAACGAGACTAAAAAAGCATTTAAATTATACCTCAGAATGGGCTTTGTTTATCTAGTCATTACAGTGTGCAAGAAATCATTGATGTCCCCACTTGGCCACTTACTTTCATGAAGTCTGTTTTCGCGAAAAAAGACAAAAAAAAAAAAAGAAACGAGACTAAAAAAGCATTTAAATTATACCTCAGAATGGGCTTTGTTTATCTAGTCACTACAGTGTGCAAGAAATCATTGATGTCCCCACTTGGCCACTTACTTTCATGAAGTCTGTTTTATCTGTCTTTGCTACTGCAATTGTGATTATGTGTTTTATCTTAAAACAGCAAATTCACAGTAACATAAGTTAAATCTATTTTCAGTGTGCAATATAATTGTCAGTTTGATAAATCTCATTCATCATGTAAAACAATTTGTTTTTATCTAAGAGGCACACAGATTTTGAAAAATGTCCCAGTAATTTGTTTCTAAGAAAAAAGAATATATTATTTCATATGTTTTTTTCCTGCCAGATGTGAATTGATTTGAATCTGTCAGAACTTTCTAGATTCTGATAAATTAGTCATTTTTTCCCTGAGTCTTTTTTTAATACAAGAAGTACCAGTAGGAAAAGAACTTCTACTTAAATGATTTCAATTACCTATAAAAACTCTTCTAGTATGTTTTTGCAACTCTTTTAAAAACTGAGTCATAGAAATAGAGATTATTTTCTACTTCTAAGCCTATTTACATCCGAATCATTTTAGTTACAGGAGATACTTTCCTTTCTGAAAAAAATCTGATATTTTCTCTTGATAACTAAAATGCCATCATTTGGTTGGTTCCATGGCCAATTGAATTTGTATCTTCACATAATGTTAGTTAAACTGCATTACTCTGATAACAGCCTGTATTTCTGGAGAGGTCAGAGTCATTTAGAAGATTAGTGCTGGGATCTAACAGCATTCTATTCTTCCTTGATTAAGAGGGTTTAGGTGAGGATTTTTAATTATGTTCCAAATCTAGTTTACATCTGCTGAGTGGAGGCACAGGACGACCGCATGGGATAAAGAAAGAAAAATTTGTTTTATCTGTACGCTCTTTCTTTCAATAAATATCTGTTGACCATCATCTTGATAGGGATATTGAAGAAGATAGAGAAGAAAGAAATTTGACCAATTTTACAGAAGCTGAACTTCTGCTGGCAGCTATCCCATTAAATACTTGTCTTGTCCTTGCTCACAGTGCCATGATGGTAACAGGATCCTTTGAAATTAATGCCTCAGCACCCTATGGGTCCTGGTGTCTATCTTGATCCCTGGCTCTACACATGCCAGGGTTTGCCTGGTATGAACCAGAGGGCTGTCCATTGTCTACGTACCAGCCTAACATACATGTGCCACTAATACCATCATTTTTAAGAATAAAAAACCAATGCATGTAAAAAAGGTTTCTCTATGGGTATTTCAGCACTATTAACATTTTGGGCTGGATAATTCTTGGTTGTAGGAGTCTATCCTGTGCATTGTAGGGTATTTAGCAGCATCCCTGACTTCTCTACACATTGTGAAATGTCCCCTGAGAAACAAAATCAGCCCCAGTTAAGAACCATTGGCATATACCAAAGGAAAATAAATTATGCAAAAGAGGATACCATAAGTGAGGGGATTCTCTGACTTACAAAAAGAGGCATCCATGATTTCTTCAAATAGTAGGCTTCTCCAATTAAATAACTCTGTAGCCTTTAGTTAGGCACAAGACTTAGTATTTTCACTTTTAAACTGAGGGTATTAGAACAGCTCTAAATTCCTCTTCCACTTCTAATACTGGGTTCAAAGTGCTTTATGGTCATTAACTGCTAGAGAGAATAGGCATGAAACCTAAAAACAATAAATTATTAGAAACTATGAAAAAGGCAAAAGGCAGCCACATGGGTCCCTGGCAAGCAGGCCCTGCCCCCAAAATCCTGACCCAGCCGTTGCCAAGGGCACCAGTGCAAGAGGAAACCATGTAGGACCCTGGCAAGTGAGCCCTGCCCCTGAGAGCCTGACCCGGCCACTGCTGAGGGTGCCAGTGCAACAGGTAGCCACACTGTCAGAAATACTCCCTGCCACTGCTGCAGACACCAGTGCTGAATGAATGGGCCATGACACATTACACCAACTGCTGCCACAAGAATGGCTCACTGCCATACCAGCAGCCACCACTACTTCATAGGCGACTAGCTGACCACTCATCAGCATAGAAGAAGAGTCACCAGTGGAGCCCAGGGAAAGAGGAAAGAAAAAAAAGAAAACCCATCTGTGTCACTCATTCAAGTCAAAGAGAACCAGTATACCCCAGTGCACCTATCAGGGTCAGGGGGAGCTGGCCAGGGTGCCAAAGGCCTGCCCAAGAACACCCATCATAACCTAAGAGTGACAAGACTCCAAAAAGCTACCCCCCAAAATTCGTGAGCTTGCCCATGTCCTGAGGAACCAACATAGTGTCACCAACATCAGCAAGGAAATACTAAGTGCCACAGAGGCACTCTCATGTAACTCTAACACAGAATTTGGCCAAAGCATCTACACAGAGACTACGTTACTGCATATACCTGGAACCAATACTAACACATCCCATTCAATGGTCATTATGAAACATATCTACAAGAGGAATTCCCTCTCCTCAAAGTACTCTCCAGAGTACTACAACAAGGAACTACTCTATCAGATGACTGGACACCAATGCACAGATATAGAAGTATGAAAAAACAAGAAAATGTGACACCGCCAAAGAAATATAATAATTCTCAAATACCAAATCCTATAGAACAGGAAGTCCTTGAAATGACTGAAAAGGTATTTTGAACAATAATCCTAAGGAAACTCAGTGAAATACAAGAAGACTCAGATAACACAACAAAATGAGAAAAAATATCCAAGACCTGAAGGAAGAAATGTACAAAGAAATTAATGCCCAAAAAAGAATGTAGCAGAGGTCACGGAGCTCAAGGATTCATTCAATGAAATAAAAACACAACAGAGAGCTTAAATGGCAGACTAGAACAAGCAGAAGAAATAATTTCTAATCTTGAAGATGGCCTTTTTGAAATAATACAGGTGGATAGAAAATAAACTATAAAGAATTTTTTAAAATGATGACAATCTAAGAGAAACAACAGACAACCTTAGCACACAAATATCTGAGTCATGGGTGTTCCAGAAGGGAGGAAAAAGGAAAAGCCTTGAAAAACATATTCAATGAAATAATAGTGGAAAACTTCCCAGGTACAGGCAGAGACATGGACCTTCAGATCCAGGAGGCTCAAAGATCCCCAAACACATTCAATCTAAAAAAGGTCCTCACCAAGACATGCTATAGCCAAATTGGCAAAGCTCAAAGACAAAGAGAGAATCTTAAAAGCAGCAACAGAAAAGCATCAAGACACCTATAAGAAAGCTCCTATTAGACTAAAAGCAGACTTCTCATCAGAAACCCTAAAGACAACAGAGAATGGAACAATATAGTCAAAATACTAAAAGACAAAAATTGCCAGCCAAGAATACTAAAACCAGCACAGCTATCCTTCAGAAATGAAGGAGAAATATACTTCCCAAACAAAAACTGCAGAGGTTCACCATCACACAACTAGCCCTACAAGAAACCCTCAAGGGAGTACTGCACCTGGTACCTGAAAAACAGCCATCACTACCCTGAATACACAAGAAAGAACAAAATCCACAAGTAAATAAAAAATGCAAACGATAAAGAGAAAGAAACTTTATCTAATCACCTCAAGAAACCAACAAACACAGAAGACAAACTAAAACAGAAAGAAAGGAATGAAAGATATTTAAAACTTCCAAACAAACAAACAAACAAACAAAAAATGCCAGGACTAAATCAACACCTTTCAATAATAACTCTTAGTGTAAAAGGATTAAATTCCCCACTCAAAAGACACAGACTGACTGACTGGATTAAAAAGACTCTTCAAGAGACTCACCTCAGCTGTAAAGACAAACACAGACTAAGAGTGAAAGGATAGAAAAAGATATACCATGCAAATAGAAACCAAAAACAAGCAGGACAAGCTATTCTTCTATCATATAAAATAGACTTTAAGCCAGAAA